TGATCTGTGAGACAGGACGGCTGTTGAGTCTGTCCGTTCCATGAGACAGGCCATGGCGGACAGGACGTCAGACAGGATGGACTGACGCATACTACATGTCCTACGTGGACTCTCCACAAAAACCACAGACCTTACGTTGCATTGACTTAATCCTTTATCCGGGACTGACCGCCCGGCAGATCCTCTCTTCACCATTCTCCCCGACTCTCTCCCACCTATTCTTACAATAATGATGTCGACGCCTGAGCCAGGACCCGAAGCGTGTAAGTACTGCCCCAATGAAGAACGGACACTCACATGCGTTGCCTTCAAGTTGATGATCTGCACCTACCTGAGTGTGTGCAGCCCCGGAAGAACTGAGAACGTTCATTGCGGAGCTCAAGAATGACAAGAAGAGGCTGACCGAGAGGGTTCTGCATCTCGAGAGGCAGAACAGGCATCTCGAGAACATGCTGAGCGAGATCGAAGACTTCAACGCCACTCTCAAGTCCGCCTATGCCTCGGTCTCGTGGTGGAACGCCGAACTGATTCAGGAGAGGAATGCGAGAAGGAAGAAGGACGCCGCAAGGTAGAGATGAGAAACGTATTATTGAAGAAGCATGTGCATATGACGACGGGGGGGTGTGCGTGATGATTGACTGATTGATTGATTGCAGAACCAAGTGTGCCTCATCGTTGCCATCATTCTCTGCCTTTGTTCGCTCGATTGCTTCTTCGGGGTCGCGTATGGCGTTCCGTGGAAGGAGGGAGAGGAGACCTACAGAGAGTGCTATACAGGCGCCTGCCTCGGTGCCATCATCGGAGCTGCCGTCAACCGCTGCGAGGTCGGACGGTTGTGCTGGAGAGAGGAACTGCCAGCAGGGGTCGGGGGACCTGCGGCTGCCGCTCTTGCGGGACTCTTGACCGGGTCCGTGCACATGGCGGCTCCGCCGCCGCTGAGGACGCGTAGACCCAGCTAGACAGACAAGTGCTTGTTGAACCAAGGATGAGTCCCTTCTTCACAGCTGAGGCGATCAGTCAGTCGGTTGCAATTGGTCGTCGGCTGCTGCTCGCAGAGACTAGACGCGCCTCTCTCTACACACAGAGAGCTCGAGGTAAGCCAAGCGACTGGCTGAGTGACTCACCGACTCACTGAGTGGGTCGTTCTTTCCTTGCTTGTGTGTTTGCTTGTTGTCGCAGGTGGAGGTGTCTCTCAATTGCAATGCTTGCACTCCCGACGGACGGCCAGAAACCATGGTTGCCGATGGGACGGACGAAAGAGCTAATGGTACAGAGGCCGACAGACAGACAGAGAGACCAACCAAGCATGAGAGGCCTCTGATGAAGCTTGTGTGTGTGACTCAGGCCGTGTGTGATGTGGGCGGGGAGTGGGGTCGGGGAGAACGATGATGCGGTGGAGCACAGCGCATCGACGGGCAGCAGAACACCCACAGAGGACATCGATGCCACAACAAGCGACGATGTACGATGAATGCATGAACAGAGAGGGCCAAGTGCTCAACCTGCTGCGTGTCTGCGTGTCTATTGCCCTTTTAGTCGTGGACTCCGTGCAGCTGGCTCGGCGGGTGGCTGTGTGGGTGTGTGCGTCGCGACGCCTGACGTGATCATCAGAGATGCCGAGACAGACAGACAGACAGACAGACGAACCGACAGGTAGAGAGAGAGAGGGAAGGAGGGAGGAAGGAAGAGGCGACGGGCGAGTGAGACCACTGCATGTATGTGGGTTGCGTGTGAGCGAATGGTGCGGCTAAAAGAGGATTGTGTGGTGGTAGCTGCGAGGCTTCGGTGGACACCGTGAGATGAATGACAACCGTCAACACCCATCTGTATGTCAAGTGTGCCACGTATGAAGAATTGAGATTTCACACTGTCCACACGCACCACACAGACATCGATGAACAGACAGGTGAACTCGTGTGTGCCCCAACAGCATCAGCTACCTGACGGCCACGATAGACAGACAGACACCCAAAGATCTACACGTCCATGTGAGCATGCAGTCCCCCTCCCTCCTTCCTTACGTCCGGCGGCGGGAAACCTCGACCAGCGACCAGAGGGGGTCGGTCATCCATTCGCTGGTAGCCAGGGTCGTGTCCCTTATCTTGTTGACGGCGGCCAGGAACTCTACCCCGTCTCGCATGCAGACCATGATGACCACCTCGTTTGTCGACCGCACAAACTGCTGCAGCATCGTGTCCATCTGCTCCCACGCAATGGCCTCGGCGAGCTCTGAGTAATATACACATAGAGGGAGACAGAGACAGAGACATTGTAATTCGTCAATTGATGGGCTAGTTGCGTCTGTCTCGTTTGCTTACGCTCGCGAAGGATGATGCGAAGGGATTCGGTCTTGGGCAGCTGGCCCCCAGCGCTCGCCCGCGCCCACTCATCCAGCCCGCCCACATTCCCACCCGCCACGCCCACTATCTGCACCACCCTGAGCACTGTCCCGCCGCCGCGCATGGCACTCATCATCTGCAGGGCATCCGACCCCTGCACGCCATCCGCCCACACAGTAGACCGCGCCGCCATGCGGATCTTGCCCGCCGTCAGCAGCCGGATGGCCGCCGCACAGCCGAACGAACCGCCTACGCTCAGCCAGCTGAGTGCATTCGGGAATGCCGATGGGGCGATGTGGTCGATGACCGACCACACGGGGGAATTTGTTGCGGGAGCTGGACTGAATGGGATGCCGAGGGGAAGGTGTTGCTCGATGGACAACTTTTCTGTCGCCTTGCTGAAGACGATGCTCTCTGCTAGTGCCTGCTGGTCGGGTGTGAGGGGAGTCGGGTGCTCGATGTAGGTCACGTCCGGCGCCCACATGACAATGGTGGCGTGCGAGGCGAGCTGCCGCAGCATGGCCTTCATCAGGGGGGAGGGGGCGGGGATGCGATGCAGCAGCGACATGTCGAAGCAGAGGCTGCCCCGGGCCGCAAAGCTGACCGACAGCTCGGCCGCCGTGGGAAGGCCGAATGGGGGAATTGCGGCAGGGAGGAATCCTTCGATGGCCCGGAGGGTGGGCAGGGTAACCTTGGTGCCCGATCGGCAAATGAAGCCAAGATGCTGCAGCTTCGAGCAGCCCCGCGACTTGAGCGCGTCCTACAAAGACAGCGGTAAGACACAGGCAGCGACATGACGGATATCTCTCTTGTGCTCTTTGCGCCTCACCCGAAGTCTGTCGATGCTTTGTGCGTCAGCATCCCACCCGCCCCGCACCAAACCGAGGCCACGGATGTGCCGCAGACGCGCGAGCTTGGATGACCCCTCGCCTGGGAATCCCTCGATCACACCAGCTACATCGCCAACACCAGTGCCGCCAACATCTAAGGACTCCAGCCGATCGGACGTGCCGCAGAACGCCCCAAACGACCCCTCAGCCCCCCTGAAGTGCTCGAGAGCCGGCATGCGCCACCGTCGAGTGTCGAACAGGTGACGGTGGTCCTGGGCGGCACCCTTGATGGACTTTAGGGACGGGAGGGTGAAGGAGGGGAGGAGGAGGATGGGCGAAGGAGGTGTGTGGGGGGCCGTTCGGGGAAGGCTGGCGCGCTGGACCTCGCTGTCGACAAAAGTGAGTTCCTCGATCCCTCCACCCTGCCATCCGGTCTTCCTCCTCTCCTCCACGCCGCGCGAGTGCCCCTCGATGAATGACGACCAGTCGCCCATCCACCAGTGAGGGGAGTGGTGGGGGTGCCGCACCACCACGGTCTTGAGGTTGATGGCACACTTGCCGATCTCGAATGCGGCGGCGGGGGGCACCGACTCCCACTCGTCGTGGCATCTGAAGTCGAAGACTATGCGGTCGCAGTGGGGGGCGGCGGCCTTGGCGAGCTGCCAGAAGGAGTGCATATGGTCAGCATGTGGCCGCTGGCGTCCACGTTGCCGTACACACGATCTGCCGCCTGCACAGATACCACACACATGCAGGGAAGGGACAGGTGAAGAAGTGGGATTCGCTGCATGGTGTTTTGCGTGCAGTGGTGTGTGCGCACCGGTGGCTCGGGGAATGGCTGTTTGCCGCTGAGTTTGACGAGCCGGTACGACGATGCTCGGCCATCCTGGCACACCATACAACACAGATAAACACGGGTGTGAGAGGTCTTGTTGGCCTCTCCCACGCCCACAGGCCGCATACCTGTGCTGATGCTGATGCAGGGATCTGGGTCATGGGCAGGAGGGTGTTGGCCGCACTCAACAGCGACGCCTCTGCAGCCTTCACCTTCTCGGCCGCCTGACGAAGACGCTCCGCTGCAGAACCGCCGTCATCCTCCTGGACACAGAAAGGTTAAGGAGAGGAGAGGATGTATGTGTGCAGCTGTGTGTGACCTGTGCTGCTTTGACTGTATGCACCTGGCCAGCGTGTTCATTGTTGTGCCTTTGAATGGGCGTTTCGCACTCCGACTTGAGAGCTCGAGAGTGCTCAGCCTGCAGAACTCGCCCAGCCCAACTAATCTGCAGTGACAGGAGAAAGAGAGAAGATGCGATCTCTGTGGTGGTGAGGTCTGGTGCGGCCAGCTCACCTGTTCAATGTGTGTCCTGAGAGACTCTACCACCTCCTCCACACTGCCATCCACCGCCACCTCGTCACCCACATCAGCCCCGTGCCCGACAGACTCCCCCCTGCCGCCACTTCCCTTCGGCCGCAACAACGCACCCGCTGCCGTCACACTCGACCCGAACACGCCGAGACTCTGCGGCGGCAAGGGGGGACGGTTGGCGAAGCCGAGCTGCCGATTCGAGGTCATGGGATTGTAGATCGGGTGTGGATGGATTTGTACTGCGGAGGGAGGGAGGAGGGGAGCCGGAGGGATGTGCGATGGAACGCCGGGGTGCAGGTGGTGGTGCAGGTGATGCGGGTGAGGGCGGCCATACACGGGTGATGTGGCGGGCGGTGTGGGGACGAAGAATGCTGGGAACGCTGAAATGAATGAAATACAAGAAGCATCCGTCCGACGTGTTCAATCGATGTGTGTGTTGATGTTCCTGGCTCGCCTGTCGGGGCATTGTGCCTTCCGGCTGTCGTCCCACGGGACGACGGGCCAACAGATGCATCGTCGTGCGACCGTCCTGGATCCATTTGGCCAATCAGCTTCCAGAGATCTCGATGCCGCTACCAAACCACCTGGTTACACGCGGCGCGAGGCCCTTTTTGTGGCAGTTTTGCGTGAGAAAAAACCATCGCTACCAAACCCTGCAGATTTACACGACAAACCCTCAAACCCTTGGAACCCTGCTGTCTTTTTGTGTCCTTGCACATACATTCGATGGAATTGCTTGTGGCTATCCAGCCCGACTGATTCATCGCTCCATTCCATCGATCTACGTAGCCCTCGCTAATGGAATGCACCATATTCCTTGTCATATTGGCGAACCGATGAACCACCGATGAACGACACAAGTAAGTGTGCGCGGAGGAAGGATAAATAGCGGAGCATCCATCACAAGCATTCTTTCTCATGTTGGAGGTGCTTTGTTCAACGGCGTCGACATGTCTGTTCCTTCATCCGCAGCCAAGTCCGCTGTTCGCTTCATTGGGTGATGGACGACCATGTCTGATGCTGCAACTGCCGATGACGGCCGTCAGGTGAGGCTGCATTGCTGCAAAATAAATTGACGCCCTGCAATGTTGTGTGTTGGATCATCGGCCACTCGTTTGTGTGTATCGTTGCAGGCCAATCGAGGCCGCACCGCCGAGCCGTCATCTTCTGCTGCTGGTACTCCTGGTGCTGCGAGCGATGAGGAGCGGCGACGGGCACAGAGAGAGGAGAGGGAGAGGGAACTGAGGCAGCAGATCTCAGACGCGGTGAGGAAATCACGCAGACACAATGGGGACGGAGGAAGGCTCACTGTCGCTCTTTCTGGTCGTTTTGTGCAGCCGGGTCTGCTCACCTGCATCACGGCCTTCCTCCCCCTCTGTCTACTCGTCCAGCTGTCCGGCAAGACCTGGAAGCACTCACTGCCGAAGCATCACACCGTCACCATCGACAGCAGTCGCGCTGCCGAGCGGCGCATCTGGCAGCGTGTCCCTCTAGATCTGGTCACCAAATGGGCGGTCCGGCTCACACGACTGACAGCTATCGTCTTGCGCTATCCCATGGACGCCGCCCTCTGGTGCATCGACATCTTCATCGCCATGATCGAGGGGCACGTTGCCGGCCGCCGGGCAGCCAGCATGCAGGGCGGTACGCTGAGGACAATCCAATTATTGGAGGGCTACCAGCTAAGCAGGAGGGAGATGTGGTCACTGCAGCGAGGCAACCCGCCCCTCCCGTCACTCCTGCAGCCACCGCCTTCCCTTAATGCCCTCGAGACTGTCAGCGGCGTGACTTTAGCTCATTCCGGCCTGGCCAACAGAGGCTGGCTGATGCCGTCACTCGAGCGCCGTGCCCAGGAGGGGTGGGGTGCGAGTCATGTGGGGAGGTTCATCGGCTCGTCCCAGTCGCTGCGGCGTGTGGATGGGATATTTGAGGGTGACGAGTGGGCGGGGGTGTTTGAGCGCATGCCGGTGGCAGTGGCCGGGCAGCCGGGGCCTCTGGCACGTCTGGAACGCATCGGCACGGTCGTCCTCAGCGCCAATTCTAACGCTGCTCGCGCTGCAGCGGTAGACCGACTCCGGGTAATCTACCGACACATGTGAAGGATGATGCATGTGTTGCTCTTCTATGGCCTCTCTCTCTCGCTCATGTGTGCCTTTCAGGCAGCGCTGTGGTCGCGTGGATGCCGTCGATCGCTCACCGAGCTGACACTGCAGATGGGCTTCCGAGTCGGTCGACAGCAGTGTTCTTCCCCTCATGCAGTCGGTGGAGTCGCTGCACAGGGCATGCTGCCGACCCGACACCCTAGTCACATTACAGAGCTCGCGTGTCGGTAATTTCGAGTTGTCCCTCTTCTACAGCGACGATTTCCCCCCCAATCCTTCGACCCTCTTCAAGACCATCATGCGGCAGCTTGCGCGGCGAGCGAAGGGCGTGGTGTACACCATCACTCAGCATGACCTCACGCACCCCGTCGACAGCCCCAGCGATGCGGCCGTCGACGTCGCATCCAGCCTCTCATTCGATCGGGCTAAGAAGGTGTCTGTGCAGGCCAACATCAACCCACCGCCACCCCACACCCCCTCGCCCCAGCCCACCATCATCGAGCACCTGCAGCCATTCCCGCAGGCCGATACGCTGCGAATCCACGGCAGGTTGAATGCGAGTGCCGGCCGTCTTCTGGCTGACAAGTTGGCCAACCAGGTGGCCGAGGTCGTCACCGTGAGGGTGCCTGCCGCTGATGCGCTGGGCGTCTTGGGGGGGCTGGGGGGAGGGAGGGTTGTGCGGCAGGTGGCGATTGATCTAGGGGAGCTGGGGACGGACGAGATCGTGGTTCCTGCTGCCGGCCTGACCAATCTGCCGAGGATAGACAAACTGTGTTTCAGTTGCTTAGCGCCTGGTAAGCCAAGACAATCGTGCGATCCATCCTTCTTGTCCATTGCCGTCTCGTCTACTTGTGTGTTCAGTGCCTGTGGAGGATGCTGGCAGTCGCATCCGTGCCGCCTTCACATCCGCCCTCCTGTCGGCCCTCTTCGACCACATCCCCGGGTTGCAGAGTGTGGCCTTGTCGGTCGCCTGGAGTGTCCCAGATGACCTGGTGGCATCCATGCGTGCAGCCTTCACTGACGGCTGGACGATCGGGCGCTTCCCGGTGACAATGGCGCGAGGCACGTCTTACGTCAGGTACGATAAAGGCGGGTCTGCCTGTCAATGCGTACGCGCGCGCGCGCGCGTGGTCAGATTAATCGTGTTTGCGAGTGGCGGTTGATTGGAGCTGACCAGAGAGGGCGGACAACGACACTGCTTGATTGAGGCGGCTGTGTGGGTGGGTGTACATAGAAAGTGGCGGGCAGAGACGCGGCGACCAACACCGCCCATCAGGCACTCACTGCAGTGCATAGACACGGTGTGTTGCGTGGAGTGTGGGTCGGTTGCTGCTGCCTGGCCTGCCTGCCGCGTTGATGCGTAGACGACAGACATGATGGTGGTGCTGATGTGTTCATTGATCAATTCATTGAATGGTACGTTAGCGAGTGGTGGTGTTCAATCGGTGCATCCCCTCGGCTGAGCATCACATGAAGTCGCATCAATGTCATGTCACGACACGCGTCGATCATGCAGACATGTTAATGACACGTCTTCTACTCACACAGCTAAAACACCCACCAGACAAAAAAAAGGCCTCCAGGCGATCAAGCCAGCGATACGAAGCGGCCAAAGTAACTGTTCTGCAGCATAGCCGCGTGTATGATATGCGCACCCATCACATACTACACAACACCCGATTGAGCGAGTCGCAGTCAGGAGCGAGGTCGCGTGTCATCATTGACTTACTGACGCACAGGTCTTCCGTGAGTGCAATGCCAGGCAGTCCTCGCACGCGTAAACACACGCACAGAGACAAATTCAATGCACTGCATGGCTGGGCCGTCAGTCAGTAAGTCAGTCGACGTACGTACGCAAATAGTACGTTAGTACACAGTCAGTCCATCAAGAATGAATGCCGTCAGTACAGACAAGACAGAGATAGACACACACCTACTGACATCCATCGCATCGCATCGCATCAGTCTTCTGATGACAGTATTGTCACAAAGCTCAGCAGCAGCTCTCCCATCTCATCATAATTATCATGGCCCACATCAGTAACATCAGTAACATTACGGCTCATTTTGGCACTGGCACCACCATCAGCAGCAGCAGACAGGAACCGCCCTCCATCCCCATCCTCATCCCCACTC